TTAGCTTCCAAAACTGAATGCAACCTTCCACTCAGTTCAGTGGAAAATACACCTCACTGAACCAAAATATCAGTCTGAAAAGACTAAGCAACCTTTTCAATCCAAAGAAAATGTATCAATAAGGGTAAAATTCAGTGTTTTAACAAGAAGTCTATTATTCTTTAATTGATGTACAAAGCTGGTGCGGCAGCATATCTGAAGCAATCTGTTTCTGATCCTATCGAGCGCTGAGTAATGTACTGAGAAGCAGTGGCCACTGCCAGAGATGTCTGAATGGTCAGCGGGTTCCCTCTCAATCTGGCACGTTTGACTGGAGACAACGTTTATTTAACTGCCCCCCGACACCCCCTCATCTAAAGACTCCGACTGCCTTTTCTCAATCCTGGGTGTGGTACCTGGTTATAGGAGTCCAGGGGCATCCTCATCTTGGGCTCTAGAAGGTTCAGAGTCACAGACTGCAGGACATAGAGGTAGTGGGCCATCTCATCCCCCACTGCGCCCGAGCTGTGGATGATATTCTGCCAATTAAGCAAATCAGAAGGATCAGGGGGAGGACAGAATACAACTATCACCACCAGAAGCACAAGACCCCGTGTGCCAAAAGCAAACAGCACTTGTTTACATAAAGCAGGCGCCACTCAGAAGAAGCAGGCTAACTGCACAGCACGAGTTTTCAATACTGCTCGCATCCGAGGAAAAACTCTACAGAGGATGAGATTCTTGGAGCAGCAACACGGCTCACAACCAGCATTTTCTAACAAACAGCATGAATCTTCTCTGGATTCACAGCCTTTATAACATGTCTGATTTGAGCGCAGAAGGAATGAGTTTAGTGAGAGTTTAACAGCTTTTTGTTGTCAGACAACAATCAAAAATTATTTCAATATGTATACACTTTTTTATTGAACTGCATATAGACCCCCCCGTTTTAACAACATTTCAGATCCTACAGATAAATTGGTTACCTTGTATATATACTGGCGCAGGTTTATTTTTACCAGAAAATCAAACATTTCCTGAAAGAGAAAAATCGAACAAAGTCTATCAGTGACATTTTGAAGACATGACAAAACGAACAGTTATTTCTCAGTGAGCGCTTTAATGAACTCAGAAGTACTGAGTGAACTCAAGAAAGAGTGTTTGCACTGAGGAGATCCTGAAGATCCAGCCCCCAGCTCAGAGTTCCCCATTTTCTAGGAACTCTTCACCACTGGCTTTGCTTTGTTCAGCATTTTGTTACTAGTCTTGGATTATAGTGCACAATTGAATTAGTTATAGGACTAATTCGGTTTTCAGTTTCCAACATGTCAGATGATTCCTCTTATTTCCTTATACAAGCAAATCCAGATCTCCAGCGAGTGGTGAGGGTGAGGATCCAATTAAGCACTCAAATAAGAAACAGATCAGGGGTAATAGAAGCTCTGACTGCAATGACACACAGTGGCCATGAGGTGGTAGCAAAACTGCTTCATACACTGCAGACCACAGGGGTCTTCCACCCAACATTTTTCAGTAGCTGTAACTTATAAAAGTTGCTTCCAAACAGCAAAGCAAATGGAATAGCAGATTTAGTCAAGAGTTACTTCCAAAGACTAATACCCTGTGTCATCACTTGAGGTTTTCTTGCCAAAGGAGAGACTAAATTGATCACATTACCTTCACACAGACAGATGTACTGCAGACATGGGGTCTCAAGCTAAATTTGAGCTCGGTCCAACTGAGCAATTATTTCCACAGCTGTGAGTCAGGAAATCCAGTGAAATGAACAGAATAATAGTACAGCCCCATTGAAAGAAGACCAGAAAGCCCTGCATGAGTAGAGCTGTGCACTCCTGCCTCACAGCTACGTGTGGCCTGGAGCTGTATGGAGGGACGCTGGTCCCCTCTCCACCCCCTGACACCCCCACTACCTGCTGGGCGACCTGCGTGACCCCCCGGCTGTACCTTTTTCTCCATGTCGGACGCGGACTGCAGGAGAGCAATGAGAAGAGCCATGGCCTTGGTCTGGATCTGCTGGTTGAGCCTGTCGGGGGGTGGAGGGAGAGTGAGAAAACAGACTGACTGTGCTGCGCCCCCGATCCCTCTGCGACGGCTCCGCGCACTTCCCAGACTCCCCCAGAAACCTGCTGATTTCCGGTACCGTCCCAAACAGCGGGGCAGTGAGACAGTGGCAAAGGAGGGAATGACTCTACAGCCGTAACACTCACCAAGGGGGCTTGTAGGTTACTGTCTGCTGGTTATTCTTGGGCATGGAGAAAACAATTCTGTCTGCTAATTAAACACCACTAAGTTTTACCAGTTGCCACATTTTTAACACAACCAACAGAGGGCTCATTCCGGTATAGGATTACGAAGCAGCGCCAACTGCTAACAGCACTTAAAATAGCAAACGTGGATCAAGATTAAGTGAATTTGCTGCGTTCAACTTCAGACTGCAGAGCTGAGACCTCTCTGGGTGTCCTTTATTCCAGCACATGGGCTATTTTCAGAAAGGCTTTGTCATTCTACACAAAGAGTCCTATTTTACGAAACAGGCACCAGTCAGCAGTCTGTCCCAAACTCAAGCAGCCTCAAAACAGGCCAGTCTCAAGATTAACACTTTGATTTCTCCATGTGGATTCTTGTTTTTTCACAATTACAGAGAGAAAATCCACACACTCCTCTTACTGACGGACTACTTGGATTTCACAAAAGCTTAGTGGCATTTTGACAGCTCTTTCACAGAGTTATGAAATGTTTTTACAAGCACGCTTCAGGATTGCATTGGGACACCTGTTTACTTGCGAACAATGACTGAGTTTTGCTCTTGCTTTACTGTCTCTAACTTCAGTCTGCTCTGATTACTACTGTACCTTCAAGCCTGCTTTTGGGCAGAATGAAGTCACATGAGACCCTAAGAATCATTACAAATGAGAGGCCATTTGGCCCATCCAGAATGTTTGATAACAGAGATAATACCACTGAAAGGAACCCAGACAGTTTTATCTACAAGAAATGCAGTAGAAAATTGGTTTAGCAATTAGCTTGCCTGTAAACACTCAAGACTACCCACGGGCGGTAGCACAATGGTCGACTCCGAGTCATAGATCTGCCAAATCTCTTCCTTGAATCTACACCCAAGGAGAATCTGGTATGACCCCCCCACATCTGAATATCCAGCTGAGAAATTTTATTTCAGGTATTACTGTGCTCATATTTCAGAAGGTACACCTCCACTCCAGATTTGGGTGCATGCGAGGTATGAATATTAATTAGCTCTCAGCCAATTAAGATTAGCTGTCTCCTGTACCACAGTGATTGGATGAGAGCTATTTGACATTCATACCTGTAACACCTGAGCACATCTGTGTACTTGATACAGTAGATGTGCTTTTTGATTGAGAGAGGCACGTTTGGAATGTGTTTGGTAGAGAAACACGGTCAGTTCTGCTACAAAGCGCGTTTTCAAAAAACAAGTTAAATATAACGTGACAAATTTATCACTACCACTATTTTTTCTAGCATGAGCTGATTAGGACACATTCGAGTTTGGAAACTAGTCGTACATGAGTAGGAACAAACAGCTGTGCATGTGACAGGCGGATGTAAAATTACATTCTATAAATACTTCATTTGGTCAATATAAAGGGTCTGAATTAAAAAAAAGATTTTCACTTTAAAGGTTACATTTCCTCTTGCTTAGCAACAAAGGCTGATGCACACTGTGCCACTCTAGTGGACTTGCTCAATAGTTACTTAGTCATCTTCAATTAATGATATTATATCAGTGAACACTGTAAATAAACACTGTTTTGATAAAATAACAAACAAGGGCTAACTATTCATATAGAATAATTTCAATCATGGTGGTATTTTCAAGGCATCTTCCCCATAAGCCCTTAATTCCCATTGAATCAATCTTCAGGAACACAACAGCAGCAGACCTGGCTGCGGCTTGTATTGACATGACTTGACATCACACTTTTCTCAGCGCGTCACAGGCCACTTACACCTGCAGGTGCCCGATGAGCCTCTCCAGCGTGACTTCCTGTTTCACCAGCAGGAACAGGCTGGTGCTGCTCTGCACCATGTTCTCCAGGATGGCCAGGGACAGCTGCTGGATGGAGGCATCCATCACCTTGACATTGACGAACCCTGCGATCTGAAAGGGCGGCAGTGGAGCACGGACTGAGGGTGGCAAACACAGAGACTGAGCCCCTTCACCCCCGTGCCCATTATAGACATTGGCACTTAGGCCATATCCTTGGTTTGTCTTCACGTTTGCCCCTTTCTACACCCTTCACACTATTTCAAAGTCGCTGCTTGTCTTTTCATTTATATATCATTTTTACAGGAATTCCCTTATAGTAGAATCAATGCTGAAGGATTTGAGAGATGCTTGTAGCTTGGACCAATTGAATGTGGCAGCTCCAAGCTCAGAAAAAAGAAATGGATCAGAAGACCTTAGGGTTCTCCAGAACTTCATCCATCTGATTTGGATAGATAATACAGGCTGCATCTACAATAACATGGAGAACTGCTGAGGCATTTCATCAGCTCAAAGGGGAACTGCAGTTCCAGTTTCTCAGCCTGTTTATGAAATCGTAGTAACAAAATAAATTGACAGTATCCCAAAATCAAACAAATTCCAAATTAAGCACAAAATCGTGAACTGTGGAAGTACTGTATAGTCACCATGGTATCGCAAACCCCTGGTGTTGCCATGGGCGACAGTGAAGAGTTTGTGCAAATTGCGACGTGAAACAGCCCTTCCTGCTCACTAGTCACTGTAATGGCTGATACAATGTGAAGTGCCAGCAAATAAGCACAGGTTGTGCAGCAGACATTTCACTGCAGAAATGTTCCAACGTGACCCGCATGCAGAGTTAACATTTGCAAAAATGTGTCACTCTACAGCAATATTTCTATTGGATTAAAAGAGATCTCCTCACAAGCTCGTTTATAATGTAACAGGGCTGCCTCACCTGACCAGAAGTTTTGTTGCCTCGTTCTGACTCGGAGAATATGGCGCTGGGCATACCTGGAAGTGTTGTCTTTTTTGTGATGTAAATTGGAGCTTTTACACGTTACTGTGTACATTTGACTTGCATTGTGGTTTGAAATGCACTTATCAGTGCCACTTCTTTCTAACCCCAAAACATAAAAATATCATTGCAGTTCCCCTTTTATTAACTATTGCAGTTCAGTTGGAACAGCTGCTGTAAAGATGTTACATTTAAGCTCGCGAGTGCCGGGGCCTCTGCCCTCCAGAAGGTCACAATCGCAAGGAGGCTGGTGACGGTGTGACGGCCATACCTTCCTGATGAACACGGTGGAGAGGTTCTCCCAGGAGACGATGCCGTGATCCATGAGCTCCATGAAGCCCTTCAGGGTGTGGGCCATGATGATGGGGGCCCTGAGACACACACACACAGGCACCCAGTCACCCCAGAGCGTTTGTGGCCCGTGCAAGCCCACCCACAAGAGTCTAGAGGCAAACGCTGGCTGCAGAGAGAGCGGCCCGGGGGGTCGTGGAGTGGGGGGCTTCACTGCGAGATCCGCAGCCCAGCTTGGGCCTCCACCAGAGGAGATCACATACAAACTCGGCTTTGGAGAAAAGCACTGAACAAAGACCCAAGGCTGACATGACGTGTGGCCTGCTCTGTGTTACGTCTGCAAGAAGTTGAGGTTTGAGGCTGTGCTCTGCAGGATTTGAAAATGCTTTAACTTGCTTCTTCTCGTTCTTGTTTAGCCCCTGACCACACAGACAGGACAGGAACACAGCGATTATTTCTGGCCATATTTTGCACACACGGTCGAGCAGCAAACCACCACCCATTTACTCTGTTGCAAGTGCTTAGGTAGAAACTTCCAACCCTGACAAATTATGATGTTGTCTCAGTAGCGCGTGAGGATGAAGGGCACGTTATACCCTTGAGGGTCTCAATTCCAAACCTAGAGGCGTTTCACTCGAGCACCGAAGACTGACAAAATAGAAACAAATACAATAGCCGTCTGCTTAATGGATAACATAGACCCATAAGACAGAACATTGAAGGACGCAGAGAAACAGATAGTGATCCCACACACACACACACACACACACACACACACTTCCCTCGGGGGCAGACTAGCTGCTGCAGACTAAATGGGACAGCGAGTGAGGTCATGGTCTGCCAGCCGGTACCTAACCCATACTTGCGTTGTGAAAAGCCAGGATCCTATTTCAGTGAGAAATATTCATCAAAGCTCAAAGCTTATTATTCAAATCAAAGAGACCGCCAGAGATGTGCATTTGCAAGAACAAGGCGTTAGCTGTGAAGAAACAAGATACAGAACAAGCTGGAGGGAGTATAATGTTGATGTTTTTAAAAAAGATAGCAGCCTCAACATGTCACTGATGCTGGGGTATACTGGTCACCCTGTTTCAGAGTTTTTCATTCTTCCTGCACTTAGCACCCTCTGATTCCCAAGACATGGCAGCCAGAAAAGATCAGCTCTCAAAGAGCGAAAGGAAATTGAGAAAGAAGCAGCTGCAGAACCTGGCATTGACGACCTGTGTCTGGCTGCACGGTCCCCTCCTGCAGCTCTCTCCTGCCCACACTGCCCATCTGGAAGATGTACACAACTCACTCATTGCTGTTCTCCACGATCTGCACCAGCAGGGAGTGCCCGTCGCGGCTGATGAACTCCTGGGCAAAGGTGACATCGGTAGAGACGGCGGCCAGCTGCTTCAGAGAGTCACAGCGCACGCCGGAGTCCGAGTTCTGGATGCCCCTGAAGAGTTCTTCAGCATAGCGACCCTGAGGCAGACAAGCAGGCCTTAACGAGTGATTTCAACCAGAATTCTTCCAGTGTGCAATTCTTCCAGTTTGGTAGCAGGAAGTCAAAGTCCTATATGTTTTAAAGACACAGCATCTTCTAATAAATACAAGCTATTAAATAGCCAAAACATGAATTTTCACCAATCATGAAGAATTGGATAATTTTCCTTAGGAATGGCCTAGATTAAAACAAAATGGACATAAGTCCATGCTGCCCTCCATGAAGCAGGGTAGGCCACTCATAGTTTAAAAACATAAAGATTACAACCAAGAAGAGAGCATTCAGCCTTCTAGCCTGTTTGGTAGTTAGTAGTTAACTAATTTAAGTATCTCATCCAGTGGTTTCTTCTAAGAAGCCAGGGTATTGGCTTCAACAACACAGTAGGGCAGCTTGGTCCACACTCCCTCAACTCTCGGTTTTAACTGTAAAATGTACTTCCACATAGTTTCCATGAACCGTTTTTTCTCTGTCAGTGCTTCCCCTATGGTTCCAACTGTCAGCCACTGCTGAAGGAAGAGAGCTACTGAGCAGCAATGCCATGGAAAGGATAGGGAGTACAAGATGAAGGGAGGGAGAGTATGAGAATGTGTGGGAGGTGGGTACCATGAACATATCGCAGCTTTCATATCACTTCCACAAACAGTTCTGTTTATATTCCTCGGTATCTAAATCCACTCTGATAATGTACGCAGTGTTTACTCATCTAGGACAGAAACGTCCGTCATTTACGATTCATTCCTTCGCGGGGCTCAATTTGCTCACAGCGAAACCTGCACCAGAGCTCCAAGGGGTTTATCTAAACAGCAAAAAGAGGGAACTACAAGAGAAAGCAAGGCTCTCCCGTACAGATCACAGAATCAGAGTGTGGGAGGAAGCAGGCTGCAGTGGGTGTGATCACGATCTGGAGCAGCCCGCACCAGCTCTCCCAGCTCTGAAGGGCTGGCATCACAGCAGATGGCATGCTTGTCTGGCCCCTGGATCTGGGGGGTGGGGGCTGTGCGAGTGTTCATGACTAAGGCAGTGGACACAGGAAGAGAGAGAGAGAGGGAGCTGTGCTCATCTCATCAGCTCTTTGTTCCTCCCACGAAGCCTGGCTGGGGGGAAGGGAGGGTGGAGGGGACGAGGGACGCAGATTCACTGGCTGGACTCAGTCGGTTCCCTAATTTGGCAACAATGAGGGAGAACAGCCCCATTGAACGGGTTGTCGAAACTCCAGCCAGGAATAGCTCCTTTATAAGTTGGCTGTATACCAAATCCAGGCGCAGCACAGAGCAGCATCTCGCCTGTCTTCTTCGAAACAAATGCTTGGCTGAACCCTGTTCTTTAATCTCCGTGAAAGGCAGCGAGCTTTACGCACTGCATCTACACTGAAATTCAGAAAACTCTTAAATGGATCAATCCTCCCAGGCTCTCCCAGCCCCAACAGGTGTCACTAATCGGCACATGGTGCCAAATGATACTTAATTATGCCGATGTTAACTAACTTTCTCAGAGAAAGAAATATGAGACAAATTTGCTACGCCACATTACAGCAGCAGCTCTCCCACATTGACAAAAATGCACTTGTCGGCATATAATTAGCAATTCAGAAAAGAGATACATCCAGTCCAGATGCACAAACTGCAAGATTCTTAGCCATATTATCATCTGCAAGGGACTAAAGGGTATTCGGACTTCTTCTGTGTAAAATCTATTTTCCCACACATACGCAAAACTGTAGCCTCTCATAAAGAAATTGTGGCTACAGTAATGCTTTTGTTTCACTTCTAGCAAGGTCCGAGGCATGATGCACAAGTGCAGGTCAGCAAGGGGGGGGTGAGAGGAAGTGTTTCGTGAGCGTACTGGGTGGAGACACTGTTTCCAAAATGTCACCTAGGATTAAAAATATAACTGGAAGATCAGCCTTCTTCAGGATGACCTGGAGAGTTCTGCACGTCAATACCCATATTTGTTATTAAAAGAAATCTACGAACTTGTTGGCTTTAATTAGGACTGGAATTAGGAAGGCATTTCTACAGGTCACACAGCTGGTGCAGTCTGTCCCTTGTCTGAAATCAGTGAGCAGCAAGCTGAGAGTACCCAGGTAACTTAGAAACTAACGGAGAACGGCCCACTTGACTTACAGGTGCTTTGGTGAGGCGGAGAATACTGCCATTCTTGATGTCCAAACGGTTCTAGGACACAGACGAAACACACTTTTCAGGACAGCCTTTATTATTAACATCTTTGCCCGTCTTAGCATGCACACGCAAGCACATAGACATTCATATAAAACGTGAATGCAGTCACTCAGAAAAAGGAAATCAAACATTAAAATAAGAACAATGGGGAAATCGACTTGCCGGAATAGGCCCCACATTCCGTGCATTCTGAAAGGGCTCCTTATTGCACAACAGCACTGAGTCACGTCAATCTGCTGCTCTCCTCTCCTTCTCCCCCAAGCACGGCATGCCGTGACTCAGGAGGGAATGTGGTAGAGAAGACACAGGAAGGCTTGCCCACACCTGCCCAGCGCTGCTGCCTGGTGTGTCAGAACACAAGCTGCAGTTTCACTTCCTGCAGCCAATATAGGATCTGTGCTGTGACTTGCACCTCTTATAGACAGAGGCTGGGCGAGGACTGTAACTGGGTCTTACCACAGTCTGTTGAGAGAACCTCACATTTTGTTTAGGCAACTGAACCAATTATATGTCGGACAGAGCTTAAGTTTCTGTGTTTTATTTAGCAGGCTAGAGATACCTGGTGGAGCCCAAATTTTGCTACACAGTTTTTCTCAACATATTATCATGAGATTCTGTAGGGGTGAGGTCCTGGCACAGTGCATCCAGCCCGCCTAGCCCTATCCTCTACCCACATGTCTCAAATTGGTTATCTTAAAAGACATCTGACCCATTAAGGAGTCTCAAACATTGGTCCTGGATGGTTCCAATCTATGAATCATCTAGGTCACCTTATATCTTCTGTTTCTATGAAACGGGTTCTTGAACACTGAGGGATATTTCTTATTTGTTTTCCAAATGATCAAATAATCTTAAATTACTTTTAGCAAGTTAACAGTTTTAATGATCTCTGCCCAAATCTTTCAGAAACTGATGATCCTACTAGAATGAGGCTCTCCACAATAGGGGTTAAAGATATCTGCTTTGAAGGCCTTCATCTTTTAGTTGCCTTGGGAGTGGGGTCCCCCTTCCTCATTTTCCACACAAAATATAAAGTAGCTCACTTGAAAGCTGTATAGACATCCTGTTTCCATTGGATTACAGGGATGTCCATGGCTCTGAGGCTACACCGATGTCTGTCGCAAAGGAAAATGATTCCTCAAAAACCTTGGAGCCGTATTCTCACCGACTCAGTGATGTAGGTCTGGATGCCATCGGCGTACTGCAGCGCATAGCCATCGGGGCCACTGAGGTTCCACCTGTCGACAAGCAATTCGATCAGTTAAGGGATGGAGGGGTGGACTGGTGGCTCAAATACGGAGACTTTCCCTGTGTTCTGTTGGTGAAATAATAACTATCCTCTTCTCCTCCCCACATGTCCGGATGGCGCTGCATCACTGCCTTGGATCCAAGAGGGACATTGTGGATGTAGCTATCATTTAGGAGCAATCTACTGGTCTACAGAGATCTGCATGGAGTACTAATACACAGAAGACATGATGGATGGATGGATTAATGCCCTCATCATTTCCTTTTTTTAGCTATATTAGCATGCCCAAAGGGGTTGGGCAACCAGTTGACCTTGGACCCCCAGAGGTTTTTTATTTCTCCTTACTAAGGAGTTTTTGGACCGTTGTCTTCTGGTCTTCTGTTCTGTATTGACAAAATGTATCGTCAATTGCATTGTTAAGCGCCTTGGGGCAACCTTGTTGTGAAAGGCGCTATATATAAATACATTGAATTGAATTGAAAGAATCGCTGCAGGACACAGCCGACCAGAAGGATCTCCCCATGTGCGTTCACCCAAGACAAGGCAGGCCACAAACTACAGCTATTCTCAACTTACTTTCATTTCTCTCCTGAACAGGAAAGGCCAGCTTTCTGACCCGTGAGAAAGACACATGAGGCCATTCACATTTCTTGTCAGATCTATTTATATATGAATGTGTTATGAACAATGACCAATAATTTTATGTACGACTAGGGATTTTGTAGAGGCCCTTAGTCCTGGGAAATACAGATACGTAGTTTCTGAAGTCAGAATAAAACATATGAATAATACATACCCATCACAGACTTCTTTAATGACTGCTGACAGTGGCTTTTTCTGTAAGAGAGGAAATCTTATTGGTTTGGGACACACAAATCATAAATTAATCACAGGTTGCTTTTGCTGCTTCACTTCTATGGGGAAATAACAAACATCTGAGACACAGTCTCAAATTTAACCAAAAAAGACATTTTAAAAAACTGCATGATCTTCAATGGTCGCGTCTCTATGCTCAGGTATGGTGCTGCTCTAAAGCAAAAATGACACCGACTTTGCATGCATACGAGTGGTTATTTAGAAATAATAATTGGGAAAACATTAGCCTTTTGATGGAAAGCAGGAGAATTCTGTGTTTTGTTACAGCTGCCCTGCAATTGGTGGGTTGCAGTGTGGTTGAAGCAATTACAGGGCTGGCATTGAGACTGGTCTGCTCAGGCCTCAGCCAAAGCCACAAAAACAAGCTATTCATTTGGCGCAACTGCACATCCACCCGGCTGAGCTCCTGCTCCAGGCGGATGCTCACAGAAAGGCTGCCGACACACTTACAGGGCAGGGAGGCAGAGCAGCCAGGTCCCTCTCCCCAGAGGTGCAAACACCGCGTCCCGCAGTAGGGACTGAACTTCAGTCAGGGAGGGGCTGGGAGTAGGTGTGTCAGGACACACGCTGCCTACGCCTCTGCTGGGACTTTGGATTAGGGAAGTGAAACTACAGAAGCCAGGCTTGGGGGGTGTGCTACGGAGCATCGCTCGCTTGTTGCCCATAGGTCTAATCTTGAGCCGTTTTATTTGTGCAGGGTGCCTTCATTACGAACTAGCACTGCCTGTGTATAACCACGATAGACGCAGGGGGGTAGGATAGTGGCCAAAAACTATCTTTACTGGGTGAGTCACTTGGTAACCCGGGCAAAACCTTTTCTTCAATCAATGCATCTGTCCCCCAGTGCAGGGCCTGACCAAGGCTGTGATTTCATGTGCTGCCTCTCTCCTGGGCAGCCGACAGGTAAGGGGAATCCGTACCTGGTCCAGGTCAATGAGCTGGGGATAGGCCCCAGGCATCTGGATGGCGATCTTCACGATGTCCTTCTGAGGAGGCATGGTGGCGCCCTGCGCGTGCGTTCAGCCTGGGCTTGGCTGGGTACAGCAGGGAGCAGGGGGGGGCCAGGGGCCCAGGGGGACGTACCCTGCGAACAGGAGACACAAGCGTCAAACCACCCAACCTCATCCGAAGTCACGGCATCACACGTTCAGCCCTTCACTCCCTGCACACGCTTGAGAGGAACGAGCTGGCCGATGTCGGATGTTCACCCCTGACATTCGAACTTATAAACATTCGAGAGGCAACATGTCCTGGCCAGACACAGCCCGAGTGCATTCATATCCACCTCGCTGATGCTGCAATAGTTACGACACAAGCTGAAGCCACTACAGTGGATCTTCCTTTAGTGCATCTAACGCTGAAGAAGGCCTGTAGCACCAATCACAACTGACACTTGGACTGTGTATTTCTCCTCCACAAGACCTCTCTAGACATGGACAGAGGACACTGCAACACCTGAAACAAAGGACACGTTTGGGACTCCAGGTATAAAAAGAAGGTCACCTTAACAGAATCACCACAGCACTAAGCCATATACACACAAGCCTACATGTAACAAAAAGTGAAAAGTAGTGTATCAATTGTCATATATATTAAAACTACTAATCTAGCTGTTAGTTTGGCTTCATTGATTAACTGACAATCCTCTGAAGTGTTTTTGTTGACTCATTATTATATGTTGAGTCAGTGTTCAGTCATTTACTGGGTTATATTGGCCAACAGTTTTCTCCAGGTGAGGACCAGGCAGACTCCGGAGATCACCTGAGGGAATGAACACAGAAATCAAGCAGCTTAGAGAGCTAAGTCTTTTAAAAAAAACAGTCCGAATGATCTCAGTAACTTGGCTCTTTGGTGAGGATTTCTTTGGATGACTTTGCAGCAGCGAGAAAGAGACCAACTATTTATAAACAGAGTAAGCATTTGTATAGGCCTACATTTATTTCTCCAGGGGAAATTGTGTTAATATTTATGCAATTTGTTGAAATACCTCATTATTTCTGTTTCTGTAAATTTGACTCGTCAAAGTGCTGAACCTATAAATATTTCCCAGTTTACCGACTCTTCCCTGTGGTTCCTTATTTCTCTTCTGTAGCATCGAACTTGGCTCAATTGTCACAATGTGAAGTTGAATTCTTAAAGAGACATTCACCACATGTGCTGGGTATACTTCCCTCTAGTTTCACCATCACTGCGCCCACAGAACAAGACAGCACTGTGTTTGACTTTCTAAGGTGGAGGCACCACTCTATTCTGTGAGCAATGCGGAGGTTAACTCCATGTCACTTTTCATTTTTCATAATGAGCTAAACCCCAGCTAGTTCCTCTTTAGTTTTTCTGTAGAAGAGCTCAACAGGTTTCTCATGTTCACAAGCCATTGCCTGGGCTGCAGCAGTCTGGGCAGGCAGTGAGAAGTACTTGCACTACAAATGTAGAGACTCTGATCACTGCACTGCACCTGTGCAAACACTAACACTTTCTAGAGATTCATGATGCCAGTGGTTCTCAACACAGATTCTAATTGAGCTGTTCGGTGATGACTTGAATTGATCTACTTGCCTGTTTAAAGTTTTGTTAACCCAAACTAAAGTGCTGTGAGCTGATAAGGAACACTTCCCAAAACTTTGCTCCCTACACAATAGCTAAGTACAGCTCTAGTAAGAGCAGGGACAGGTAAGCATGAGCAAAAATTCTCATTTGCTGCCAACCAGGAAACTTTCAGCTAACGCAGTTTTGTTTGGTTTTCTAGGTGTGCACATCAGTGTTGAGAAATGGCCACAGCCTGTCCTCCATATTCTGTTGAACCAGAGACGGGCACTGAACTCCACAATAAACACACTATGAGCAGCACACACGCAAGTCAAAGCAATTGGTAATGTTTAAAAGGCAGGAACAACTAATGCAAGAAAAATTGCTTTTAAAATTGCAACATAACAGCAGAAAAGCACTGCCCAGCTGCATTGTGTCTTTACAACACCTAGTGGAAACATTACAGTGAGAAAATATGGTACATGGTCATTACAAAACAAGGCCAAACGATGAGAAAAATACAGAAGCAGATATTACCATTTAATTATTCCTTCCGTTTATGGCTGGGCAAACTAACATTGCATGGCCCAGAGTATTTAATCCATCTTAAATTGCCCACACATGTACTGTATTTCAGCCTTTGAGGCTTCTGCATAAAGGAAATTGATTCCTTTTATCCTGCCCAGGTGCCTGCTTTTCATTAAACGAGGTTAAAGAATTCCATCCACAACACAGCATGTCCCTGGATCACAGGAAATAAAATCAAAATCCGAAATGCAGCACCGACAGGGACCCGAGCTCTATAAGCTCAATCCTGTAACATGCCACAGCTTGAACAGGCACAGTCGAGCTGGGGTTAAGCAGCAGTATACTGGTTCCTGGGGAGATGTGAAATAAGCAGTTTCAGTACCTAACAGCAGCTAAAGCTGCAAACAGACTGGCTAATAAAACAGTCAGTAAAGATTTAGAACCACAAGCTAGGCCATATGACCTGTGCACAGAAATGTCCCTAAACAGTTAAGTGTTTTTTCCATTCCTCTCACATGAAAATACCTTGTTTGGAAATCTGTGAGCCCAAAGGGATGTAGGCCAAAGAGGAAACATAAAATATGAACTGAGAGAAAGGCGATTCTCTTCACCCCTAATTTATAATCACAGAAACACAAAGCCTAAAAGATGTTACATGCTAGTTCAGTCACTCTGTCCTCCAGGATGAGCTCATTTCCTTAAAAGACCAGCCCGTGCACCTTAATACGGCGTTTCCTTGCACAATACTCGATACAGTACATATTTTACAATTAGACGAGCAGTCTTTACTGAATGAGGTTCAACACTTAGCCTAATGTAGCATTAAGACCCTTTCACCAAAAGCCTCCTAGTTGTGCCCTTGCCCAAGCCCTTAACTGAATATAGGAACACCTGAAAGGTTACAAACAAGAGAAGGGTTGTTTTGTGGATTTTAATTCCAAGAGAAAGCTGGCCACTTGTGAGCACCCAAAACCATCTGTGACCACAGTCACCTGCTTTTGCAGCTGGCCCAAATGAATCACTGACCAGGCTCTCCTGTGCTAGCATTCAGTTTCCCCACAGGGAAAAGTACTACATGATAGCAACACTCCTAACTACCACACGACGAAAGCCTGGTGCTTTAAACAACAACAAAGATGCTCGGATGCTCACCAAAAGAAAACCAGAAAAAGGTTTCACTGAGGACAACACCATGATCTATACACCATATTTTTTTAACGGTGCAAAACACCACTGCTACGTTCAGTATCCAAATTTCCAGAATAAGCCTAAATCCCTGTGTGTGCTGAAGGTCCACCATAGCTGACTAATTTAACCCTTGACAATGATCCCTAGATCTCTGCAACTGTGATAAACTCTTATGGACTTGTGGTTTATTATGGTCTGAGAAAATCTTTGCTAATCCTTTGAGGGCTCTAATATGCACAACCAGGGGAGTGGGATGTATTTTTTGTAACATGGACTTGTGGCTGATTAAAGGCTGCAGTCCGAAAGGAGAATTCGTAGGTCTCTGTTGCCCTCTGACCCCTGACAGCCCCCCCGCATGGCCCACCTCCTGCACTCTCGAAGCTATAGATGCGGCCGGGCTGCAGCTCTGCAGAACCGTGTGAACTTTCGTGTTTTTTTTTTTCTGTACACAGACTCGAAGTGCCTCCGTGTCACATTTCCCGCAAACCGTAAACCACAAGAAACAACGGGCCACTTGGAAGGAAATCGTTAATCCCACTTCAATCAATTTAATAACAGGCTGCCCTGATTACGGAGTGATCAACGTTCAATAAAAACAGATTTTGTCAACCTTCTAAACTAAAATCCGGCTAACCTATTAAATGCGACTTGATTTTTGCCCTGCGACAAATATTCTTGCCTTTAACGAAAAGGCAATTAACGTAATGGCATACCTCATTCGAGGTTAGTACTTAAACCTGATTTAATTGGCCCAAACCCATCGATTCGTCTTGCAGGGTGCAGGGTTAGAGTCAGTAAGCCATATGAAAAAAAAATGCAACACTTAGTACTACTTTTCTGGAGAGCTAAAAGACGGGTTTTGATCTGCGCTCAAGGTGTGCGGTAAAGTGGTTCTTGCAGCAAGCGAAGTAACTAAAAATTACTGCTGAATTTATCTTGTTTGACAAAAAAATGGGTAAGAGAGAAACGAAAAACGATATTGAGTAATCTCTGATTTCTCTCCGTTAAGAACATACAGATATTTCCAGTGCCCTTTACTCGCTAAACAAACAACATACAGTAAATTACAAACACCACGAAGGTAATCAAAAACTGGAACTATTCTGAAATCCTTTCAAACGCAGAGTCGCGCTCCCAGAGCTCCACAGCCACAGTCTTACAACGTCTTGACTCGGGCACGTTCCTGGAGAGCCGCACCGCTACCTCTAGTTAGAAAACAACTGGAAATCAGATACAGTAGGAACGAGGAAAAACAGGTTATTTGGCCTCTGGAATGAGATCCATCCCCCCAGGCCATTACTTTCTGGCACACATGCACACACGCGAAAACACGGAGGCTCAAAAAAGTTGGCCAGCTGAAAAAAAAAAAGAAACCCCCCCATTTGTGGCGCAGCGCGCTCCCTTCCCGATTATGTCCCTTTCCCCCCCTTACCTGGATCAAAAGGATCTTACTGCCCTCGGATATCCGCGGAATGGCGAGCCCAGATCGCTCCTGGTCCGCTCCAGCCCACACTCAGAGGAACTTTCGGGAGTGCAGAACTCTGCTAACTCCAAGGTACAGTAATTGATCACTCTTTCACAGTTCCGGGTTGAAAACGCGTAACTAGTGCGCTCTCCGCCCCTGTAGGGGAGTGTTTTCCAGTCGCATGGAATCCTGATATTTTCCACTAGGGATTGGAGCGTGATGTGAACGGGTGGTCAAGTAGTATTTTCCCCCACTTCCACGCTTTTTAGAAAATTCAAAATTCACTTCTTTTAAGTCCCTCCTCCAGTTTTGTTTTCGGGAAGCTTTAAACATTTTTTTAATTCCTTTATGTTCTGCTTGAAAGTCCGATTTTTTTTTTCAAATAAAAAAATAACTAAAAGTTTACCTTCTTTTGCAGTAACACATTACCATATTTTTGTTTCCTTGCTTCAAAAAAGGGAAAACGAAGGTTATTCGTCCCTTTTTTTTTACATGACCTCGGTCTTACTGAACTCTCGTATTGCCGCGTTGCTGATCTTAAAGTTATAAAATCCCCACCAACAAAATCCAGTCGGACTGCTTACAACTGAAGTTAGGAATTGGACTTGGAAAAATATAGGAGCAAGTGTAACAGGGGCTCCTGTCTTCCGTTTTAAATGTACTACGGTATAGCCGAGATTTCACTTGTTCCTCGACTGCAGGTCCTGAAATAATTCCCTGACCGCGCCTTTCTAAATGTCATTGTATGAACTCCCCTTGTCGTCTACCTTATTAAACAGATTCGGTTTCAAGGACTCATTGCAAGGCGTCTTGAGAAGCACAGTCGGTTCCAATGAGGGAAAATTAACAGTTAAGGTCCTCGGGAGTAAGCTACAGCAGCCCACGAAGTCTCACACTAAGGCATGGTCTCCCACACCCAATGCTTTAACTAAAGTCAGCAATAGTGTATACACCCCTAGGGATGTACCAGTGGAAAGACCAATAGGAGATCACTGTAACAAACTGTTGGTAAACAGATAACACACACATCCTTTTGTTTTTGTAAAATTTATTCAATTTTCATAGAATGGGAATAACTAGGCACAGCGAACCAGTTTGTTACAAATTCCTTTACATACTTTAGCTTCTAAAAACCTGAATGTTTAAAAAAATAGAAAGAATTCCCTGGAGATTGAAGGCTTCAGTGGAATGACTCTACCCCCCCAGTGGTGGAGGTGCTGCCAACATCGGTTTCCTTTTGTAAAGTGCTATATTGAGATGACTCGGTTGATACCTCTGAAGATTTTCATATAAAAATGATTTTGATGCATATTCCACACATATAAAAATAAATGCTTACTGTTTATAAACAGAACAGTGCTTCCTTTAAAAGCCGCAAATACATCAAAAACCTGTGAACTCATCTACAGTAAGTGTTTTAAAAAGCACACTGAGTGAAGGACAATGTACAAAGACACATACACACATGTAAAAGTGTTACAGGTAAAGCAATTAACAAGCAGTTACACAGGAGTATTTTACACAAATAATCAAACTAATGTTTAAATTGGGCAGCTGACAGACTAACTGCCCCCGAGAGGCAGTTAGATTTTGTAAAAGAAACAGGACTTTCAAAGAACGGATATTTTGCAGGGCTGATGTAAGAGATATTTTGTTAAAGACAAGGACTCAAATGCACATGGACACACACACACGCTTGCAGAGATGTATAAAACAAACCTATGAATTTAAAACTGATAAACCCATTCAGAACTTAGCCAAAAACAGTAGGCAGTATATACAATATATTAGAAACCAATGACACAAAAACAAGCAAAAAGAGACTGGCCAAAGCTTAAAAAAATGGCAGTTATACCACATCTTGGGAAAAATTCACTGCAAGACCACTGATGACCCTCCTCCACAGTCACCAATAATCAACGTTTCGTTTTCCAAATGAGTCTTGTGCTTCCTTAAAACCATGAAAGTCAACTCTGAGTAATTTGTAAAACACATTTTTACTGTGTACTGTACATATGGAGGTACAGTTTACTTTAATGAGAAGCAGTTCAGCGAGAAGACTAAGAAAAGTAGTTTGCGACAGAAGAGCTTTTTGAATTTGAGGGAATACTGGAAAGAACAAAAACAACTCCAGACTTTGGCACAGCTGTCTTTTGATCAATGAATACTTTGCCTCTGGCCATGCTGTAAAGTAAATTTGAGGTTTCATAGCAGAAAATGAGACTTAAGAAAGAACAAGGCTTAAGAAACATATGATATGAATTATTACGTTTAATCAGTAGGCCTGGTTTAGCTACAAAAAGCCTTATGAAGTCAGAAGAGACTGAGGGTCCAGATGAGTGGTTTTTGATTAATGCTTTGTTTCCAATTTCAAGCACAACAAACAGGAAGGCAAGTTTCTCTGTAAAATGGCAACACACTTCAGGGGTCAGACTCAGCGATGTGCTCTTTGAGATGGATGAATTCGATCACAAACTCATATTTTTTTTCCCCAATCTGTCCCTGTAAACATATAAGGTATTTCCTGCTATAAGCAAAGTGTACCCTTTCAGCCTCACACTGACACTGGAAATGTGTAAGGGCACACACACACAAAATTCCTCTCTTGTTAAAAATCTAGAAATGAATGTGCCCCTTTCCCGGCACAGAACATGCCTTGACCAATCATTAAGGTTTTCCCAGGCGCGTTGCTTTTTCAAATTTTGGGTTTTAACACTCGGTCATTAACTCGCCAACCCACGCTGGAGTTGAGCAAACTGCTTTGCAGGACTTTCCTTCCCCCCACTTTGCAAACAAAGTCCACAGCATAAGCTGAACCCAAAGAGATTTCCCTTGTGTAACCTACGCCACTATATTGGCACCATCAAACACAAACATTCAGTCTCCTGCAAACTCTCAGAAGCTGTCACCTGAATCAACAGAACAAAGTCAATATGAGCAATTTGACCTGAAATGTATAAGAGGGAGTACGGACCTAGACCCAAAGGGAGGAGACTGGTTCATGTGTGCATGCTGTGGCACAATCTGTCTATAGCCACACGATCAGCACACTGAACTTGCTCTACAGGTGACATTATGCTTCAGATCAAATGCTTGCAATAGCTGTTACAGTTCAGATTCTCTTCCATGCCCGAATGGATCGTTATAGACTGATGCAGATCAGCTGTTTTGCCCAGCATGGTAAAATGGAATTCACTCCACTGCAACATAAAAGCAAACATTTAATCCTGTTTAATAGGGACATCAGTCAAATAAGTCTCCTTTCCACGTAAAAATACTTAAGGTAAGATTTGGACATTTATAAGGGGGCTGTGAAACCAATTTAGATGCACAGTTTTGCACCTCTCCTGCTACATATCGTGACACATTTCACAATTAGGACAAAAAGAATTGGCAGAAAGCCGCCTAAGACTGAACGGCCAATTTTACAACAAAAGGTTGGAATAACATGTTAGAGAGAGAGACACAGCTACACCTCCTAAAATACAGCAAGCAGAAAGTTAATTGGAAATAATCACCGAAGTGCTTCTATAATGTGGGGTAAATTCAACAATTCAGCAGATTGAATTAATCTGTACATACACACCACGGACTTTCAACAAAGAGGAAGAGCTTATTCAGATGTATCTCAAGGGACTACAGTGGAAGGGCTGAAAGATAGTAAATTATAAATGTCTGCTATGTCCATCCTGGCTGTAAAAAAGTCACAAGTCCAATTGAGTAAGAAACTTGAAATAAGCAATAGAATTTAGGTTTTGCATTTACCTATCTTTCTTAAAGAGGTCATTTGAAAATCGTACATCTTGGGGATCTAAGGGCTACACAATGATTAAATCAGTAGTGTTTCTTTCTGTATTCTGCATTACGCACCAGAAGCACAAGATTCCATTTTCCTATCTGATACTACATTTATATGATTAACCAGGAAGAGTATTTCTGTCCGTGTTTACAAGTGAGAAGGCACTGAAGTACCTTGAAGTGAAAAATGGTTCTATTTCTCAATTCACATGCACCGTTGAACTGCAGCCACTATACAATACAATCAAACAGCTATACAATAGCACAACATGTTATCTTCACAAATCTCATAGTAAATGAGGAGAGATGGCTTTAGGATTTTGGAGTCATTTTACAATAGGAGATCCCGAAAGCTCAGTAACTTTCGGATATACACAGTGATCACAGGCAGCTCTGTATCGCAAGCCCCGATATCCACACCAGGCACGTCACACCATTGAGTCACAGATAAATTTGTACCTGTACCATACCCCACTGTTTCAATGCAAAATGCTTTGATTCACAAATTAACCATTCACATGGTTAAATGGAAATTGATGCCAGATGCACTTAAACTGTAATGGGCAAAATCAATTTCAATTTACTCATTTATCTATTACGGGTTTGTAATTCTAAGAAGGGAAATTGAGGTGGAAATGAAACAAAACAGTTTGAAATGTTTTCCAACAGTTGCTGCAGTGATTTCTTTTTTATTTTCGAGGTGGGTGGTAGATCGCATTTCACATGGTTTCAAACAATCTACAGCATCGTACTGTTCTCCACAGAAAGTGGGCAGATTTCCGTGGTTTGTACCTACACACGCACAGTTCAACTGTCAGCTGTAAAAAGTGGCAGTAAAAAGCAGTGAATAAAATCATTTTGCAGTCAAAAGGACAGGAGGTGGATCAGGAGGGACCTACACAAACAGGCGTGGTGCGTTAGAGAGAAGCCTTGAATTTAGTGACACCTGAGCCCTTCCCTTTTCAGATCTTCAACGCAGGGTTTTCTTTATATTGTTTTACACGCTCTTTATTGTTTAAACATTACATTATATTATAGTACTGCCCTTTCTAAGCAATTCTTAATCAGCTGCGACCTAAAAATAGCCCAAGCTGACACAGCTTTAAAATGTTATGTGTACCTTCAAAAGACCTGATATTAATTGTACTGCAACTGTGATAAGCCTTCATTTACACTGGCAAACTGAAATGCACCTTCCACACATGTTTACAGAAACGGGGGTGAAAGATGGGGGCAGGGGGCTGCAGACTAACACGTTTCCACACAGTCTGAGCTGCCAGGCAGCGCTCTTTGCTGTGCTGACGCTGCTCTTGAGACAGGCGAAGCATCGGGATGGTGCAGGCTGCAGTGCTCTTCACAGTGAGAATCCAGCGGCTCCACTGAAATCCTTTCTGACAGCTAGGAGACAGGCTTATAGCGCCACCTCCTGGGGGGAAAAAAGCGTCCTCAAAGCAGTACTGTTCTCGACTTCCTGTGCCCTCCTCCATCACTGTCTTCTTCCTGCTTCTACCTGTAACTTCATTCTTCACCAGAGAAAGAAGAGCTTCTTTGAACTCAAGGCAATGGGCAGAGTGTTTTAGTGTCTTTTGCCAATATTTTGTAGATATGTTCAAAACCTAGAACAAATTCGTCAAGTTAACTTTGTACTCCAATGTAAGTTTTGTTTTAATTTAAAGCTACCGGGCCAAGAGGAGAACGCTCATTTGTTTAGTGCCATTACACCCAGTAATAACACCAATTACTAGTCTTATTGTTCAGATTAAACCAGCTTGTCTGTGTCCAGGAAATTTAAAAAGTTTTGGGGAAAAAACGTTCATCCATCCAAACAGCTTATAACAAAAAAAAAAGCTCCAAAAATAGAATATTCATTTATCTTGTCTCAAAAAAGGGTAAAAATATTAGTTTTGCTTTATGTCAAGTTCCTATTCACAAGCGCCCAATGGCAAAGTTCAGGGGTCAAAGGTTAAGTATAGGGACATCAAAAAGGTCACAGAGGCCTTCGCTTTCGTCCAGGTTGTAGACGTAGTCGTGGTCACCAGGGGGAGGAGACAGCCGTAGCAGGGGAGAGAAGACTGGAAGAGAGAAGAGACCGATCACAAGAAGGCCAGAGACAGGGGAATGGGTTTCAGCAGATGTGTAAAAGCCCAAGATGGCAGGATATTCGAGCTCCAATCCAGTTTAATTACTTCTGACCTGCTATCCCAAGACCTGCCACTTCCAGGTTTATGCTCAAAGCTTTGGAGTCTGTCAAACCGAAATAACCCCGACTTTGGATGACAGTATCCGCAAGAGGAATATTAACACAATGGTGTGACTCTTTTCAAGCTCTCCATAAGGAATGAGCAGGAACATCGCAAGACATTAGATCACATTTGTTTATTGACAACAGGTAACAGATTCTGAGGTTTTTCTATACTGCAGAGCAATTGGTAGAAAACCTACCTTCTGAAGTCATGAGCTCCTCCAGCAGGTCTGCACTCATACATTCTGTGGAAAAAAAAAGTTATGTTTCATTAAGAAGATTACATGAAAAAAACTATTTAAAATTACAATAAACATTTAATACATACCTTTAGTAGGGTCAAACATTTCTGAAAGATCTTTGGGGAAGTCCAGCACTGAAAGAAAGAAAACATATACATTAATATATACTGGCCTACTGCATATTCCTCTTTAACTACAATATTCCATCCAGTATCTGGATGGGAGATCTCCTGGAAAAGCTAAGGTTTTTCTGGAAGAGGTCTTAGTGGGACCAGTAGGGGGCGCTCACCCTGCAGTCTGTGTGGATCCTAATGCCTCAGTATACTGACGGGGACACTAGACTGTAAAAAAGGCGCCATCCTTCAGATGAGATAAAACCAAGGTCCTGACCCTCCATGGTCATTAAAAATCCCAGGGTGTTTCTCAAAAAGAGTTACCCTGATGTCCTGGCCAAATTTCCCATTGGCCTTTAGCAGTCATGGCCTCCTAATAATCTCCATCTATGATCTGGCTTCATCACTCTGTTCTCCTCCCCACTGGTAGCTGGTGTGTGGTGAGTGTACTGGTGCACTTTGGCTGCCATTATCCAGGTGGGGCTACACACTGGTGGTGGTGGAGGGGAGTCCCCATTATCTGTAAAGTGGTTTGAGTGGACTGTCCAGAAAAGCGCTGTATAAATGTAAAGAACTGTTATTAACCCTATTTAGAAAAGCGAATGGTAAAGGATAGAAAAATCCACAACGGGTTGAGATATTGTAGTTGAGGTTATCCAGCAGATGGCAGAGGAGTACCTCTCCTAGGAGAGAGCGCTCTTGAGTCCGTGCGTTTTCAACCACCATGATTAGTGAGTGTCTAACCAGGGGGTGAAATCCAGTTCAGTCTTCGTCTGCAGGCTTTCTAGGTCTTTTTCATTTTGCAGCACCTAAACTGCAAGCGGAAGTCGCCAAAATTGATATAAAAGGAGCTTATTTATGATGTTTTAGAGCTCAACTGGAATGAAAACCTGCAAATTCAGAGGCTCTCCGGCACCAGGATTGGTTAGCCCTGGATATATCTGTATGTGAAGGACAGTAAAAAGTGAATATAGGGTATTAGCCCTGTAGCCAGATTGTCACCAAAGTGGCTTGTATTAAACGAGTACCTGCCAACGCTTTCTCAGAAACGATGCTACTCTCAAACCGCAAAAATCTATAACCTATTTTACTTCGGTTTTCCAAGTCATGCCAAGAAACTATTATCCCCAAAATTACAGCCTTGCAGTGAAATAGCAATTATTACCAGATTCAGCACACGAGGTGTTAACTTTTAAGCATGCAACCTTACTGTATCAAACAGCAAGCCAGATCTAAGGTCACGAACAGCCCCACTGCTCTCACCACCACCTGTGCGATTCCTCTGGTCTCTAAGACCAAATGAGACCTGAGCGCTCAGCTTTTAACGAGGCCTCATTAAAAGCCACTACTTGCATCGTCAGCTACTTTGTGTTTTTATTCAGACACATTTTTTTAAACGATCATTTCTTTTTGTCAGACCTTGGTTACATTTCCAGACTGTACGGAGACCAAGCCGTCGCCATGCAAAAAGAACAGAAAAGTCTGTTACAAAGGAGAGGAGTCATTCTGCCCGTCCAGCCTGTTAGGTTGTCAGTAGGTAACTGATCCAAGGATCTCATCCGGCCTTTTCTTGAAAATAAAAACAGGGTATCGGCTTCAGCAACATGGCTGGGCAGTTTCTCCCTTGGAGAAAGAAGTGTCTCCTGGTCTGTTTTAAATGCACTTCCACATACATTCCACTAGTGCCCTCTGGTTCTTGTTTCACTGTGTCGTGACAGAGCAATGAGTCTCGAATCCAGCAGGTCAGCCATCTCACTGCCCCCCATTATTCTCTTTCTACCTCCTACAGGCTGGAACAAAGACATGCGCTCTCCACCTGTCCATCAACAAAAGAGTACCGAGTCCACGCAGACGCGTGAGGGAGGGACACTCTGGGAGCTGCGGTTGTTATCACCAGCTCCGGACTGCACCTTCCATTTTGCACTTTTGTGATTCTTCCCAAAAAAATAATCAAATGAATACAATTACATTTGGTAACACGACCTTCCCTTTCTACTCAACATTTTCCTGCAGACCCTTTTGTTTTCCTCCCAGAGGAGCAAACTGGAATCCGGGGCTTGCTGGTTGGATGCCAAGAGACGCACAGGAAGTCAAATCTTTGAAACAAATCGACCTCAAATATTTTGAAAATCGCCTATTCCGTCGATCGCACTGGAGATTACCATTCAAATGCGCAAGGCAGCGTGAAATATGGTTACTGTACTTTCACTTCCCCCTTGTGGCGGGGAACCATACTATAAAAGTACTGTAAAACTGGCCCCATTCCTTGCCCCTATAGATACAGACGCAGCTGCCTAGGTCCCGCAGGAAACCATGTCTTCCTGTCCCAGGTCTCCATGCCCAGAACGCGTCTCCTCTGGGGAGCAGGCACGGTAACCGTTACAGCGCCTAGCGCTGCAGATGCCAGCTGGGGCGCTCACCCTATCTCACCCCATCTCCGCCGCAGGGAGGGGCGGGAATATGGCCGTCGGCGCCACCTGTCCCGGGGGGCCCAGTCTCACGGTCACGTGAACCCCTTCAGGGGATGAAAGGCGTGGGGCAGCAGCGGTACCGCACCGCGGCTTGCAGGCGCGCTGTCGCCCCCGCCACCCCAGCCGCCCTGATGAAGAGGGCGAGTGACGGCTCGCGGGCCCCGCCTTTGCCGTACTGTCATCCTGAGAGCGATCTGTGTGAAAGACGACCTCCGGCACGTTTCGGTACCTCTGCAGGAAGGCGCGCTTCGTAACTGAAGTGTAAGAAATGACTCAGGAGGGGAAATACCACAGCCCCAGCAGCAACCAAAGGAAACACAGATAGGCACCTCAAAGTGCCGCTCACTTCTGGCCTGAACGTGTCTTAAGGCTAGCGTCCTGGTTTGGCTTTAGTCGGACTGGTAAGTACTTGTGGTGATCGGATCTCAGAGAGATTGCTCGTGAGAGAATCCGGTTTTCCAGATAGCAGCACGTCCTCCAGCATGCTGTCCCCCAGTCTGTGTGTCAGGATGGGGTTAATACGCGGGGGGGGGGGAATCCTTCCAGTGTTTTCATCATGAAAATGTATTATTTAGCACTGTTTTCTTGACATTTTCTGCGACTCCGTTCGGAAACTGTTTGATTAAATCCACTCATCCAAATCCAAGTGCCGTGCTCCTTTTGTACATCAGTATACACTCCAATTCAGACAGCTCTGCGCTCTCGGAGCACCACAGATAACAAGAGATCGGAGCTCAATGCAAAACTGTTGATCAATGTCATTTTTAGTACTAGGTGAGATAAGCAGTTCCTTAGAAGAAACCACAAACTTCACGGGAAAACCAAATACAAACACCCTTCTTTCTACTGTGGTCAAAAATGCAATAATGGCGGGCTTTCTAACATCTCCTTAAGACTCTAAAGTGCTCTCACAGAACCCAGACTGAGGATCAACTACTTTGCAGCTTCACCTCAATAATTATCTGATTTGACACCTGGCTACAAACAGATGCACAAACCAGCCAGTTACACTAACGCCGCCACACACTGCAGCTGTGACAGGTCTCTGTACAATCTCCTCCAGCCTCCTCTGTTAATACAGGCTTACAGCAAAGGATCTTTCTGGAGACTGAACAGCAGGCTTCCACTGTAATGAACGGTACCAGTCTCAAAGAAAAGTCTTCTATCTTGAACTGGAAGACAATTTTTTCCATGTGACCACATGTAATAAACATACATTAGTATAATTACCCTGAGACTCTACATTTCTAAAATCGTTCAGAGTGCACCTTCTCTCCTCAAAACATCTTCATGAGCCACTGCTTCCAAACAGAATATTTAAGCCAGAGATCCGACAGGCTACTTACATTCTGAAGGATCTGATTTGATAGGTTCGAAGACTGTGGAGGAGGCCGGAAGGGTAGAACTGCTGTCCAATGAGGCCGAGGACTGAAGAGCTTGAGTGTCCAAAGACGGCGTCTGATTGGCTGGTGTCTCTGCGGTGGGCTGGGCAAGGTCAAGTTCACCGGGGGTGTTACTGGAGGCGTCTAACACGGGTAGAGAGTGGAAAGGGGGTGAGATTCATGGTTTTCTCATGCACACCAATGCTCAGTGAAGAACATTTACTTAGTTCAGTGGTTCCCAATCCTGGTCTTGGTGACCATCACACCTGCTGGCTTGTGTTCCAGCCGAGCCCTCAGTGATACAATCAAACCCTTCCTTGACTTAATAATAAGATTAATTTGAACTCTTCCCAGCTCTTCAACATGTTGGAGATTGTCGTATTTTGTAAGTGAAACAACAATTCCAAACTTGTGACTAGAAACAAAATGCAAATATTCCAATGAAGCAGCTCCTCTGATCAGTTAAGGGTTCAATCATCTAGCTGGGGTGGGATGGAACGAAACCCAGCAGGTGTGTGGGGCACCAGGACTAGGACTGGGAACCACTGGTTTAGAATGATGCCTTCTAGGATTTGCACTGTCGGGGCCTACAATCTGACCCAGTGGGGGCTGCAGCTTTCAGAAAACAAACCGCTTGTGGTCTTGCAAATACATCTGTCCTGGTAAAGGCATGCATGGAGCTCCTGAGTCTCACCTTCTCCATCGGGTTACAAATATAAACCAGGCACCCACTAAATCTGTTGAAACAGCTAACTATGATGCTTCACCAACAGCAGCAAGCCTGTCTGGGCTAGTGTTTCCCTGCCTACTCAGTGTTACCCAGACTGCATCAGGCTGTCATGCTAGCCTGCACTAAGACTTCCAAGGTGTAGAAAAGGCCAACAGTGCCTACCGGTGATGGGCACCCTGCTGGCGCTGGCTGGCTGGCAAGCAGAAGCCGGGCTGGGCAGGGTGCTTTGGCTGGCAGGTGTGGGTGCAGATGGCGCAGGTTGGGGAGTGCTGGGCTGGGAGGCCAGAGGCGTCCGTTTGGGGGTGGTGGGAGTGCTGGGCGTGGGCAGGCTCTGGAACAGGTCGTCGGGGGGAGGAACAGGCAGCACCACGGGCGGTGAGCTGGCAGTATCTTTGTTGACCAGGAGCACCTCGATAGGCCCCGACGTGCTCTTCAGATGAATCTGGTATTTCTTCTGCCCGTTCATGACCTGCGGGACAGAACAGCAGCTGACATGAGCGAGGGACAGACCCCCGAGACCGTGCATCACCATTCTAACAGGCTCTAATCCCGTCCAAAAACCTGTTTTAAAATACCTCCGCACGAAGAAAAAAAACAGCAATGCCAGGTAGTGTAGCACAGGGAACAACACGAGGGGTACCTACCGCCTCTGGAATTGGGACCTCTAACTGCGTGCCAGACGGGGCTCGAATAGCTAAGAGGGTATCGCCTGAAACAAAAACAATTCGGAGTATTAGCCTGGAAGAAAAATGGCAGTGGCAGGCAAGCATCCTGCTGAAACAAACAGCAAAACCAAGACTCGCTGACATGCGCTACCCTCCCAGCTTATTAAAAAAAGGCTCCAGCAAATCTTTAGCTGTAACTCAAAACCTTAGCATCTGCACACACCCAGACTCCCCTGTACACACACACAATCCCAGGTCATGTGTATCATATAAAACATAGGCCATGTCTCTAACCCTCCCCTGCCCACACTCACACAAATTACATTAGTTACCTTTGAAGCAGCTGCAGATGTCTTCATGGGTAACATAAGCTAATGTTTCCATCTGTTAAGGACCAAGCGATGGGCAGACCTGCAGTATTTACCCTCGGGTTCAAGTGTGGACAGCCTACTGCTGCTCAGTGAGAAAACCAGGACAAGATATCCCTGGCACAGGCTGCTGCTGGTTTTACAGTCCTCCTTTAATGATTTTATTGGTTTAATTTATTACAAAACTCCTGTCACATATGGAGGGCCTGCACAGGGGAAACTACATACAGCAGATCATCGATTGTTCAGCGACTCATAATCCACCTTCCAATTGGATTGTCCAGTGATGGGCGGTCACAGGCAGAACCCGAAAGTAGATCATGCAGTAATTACAAAGGGTATTCTGTCTAATTTACAGATAATGTACTGTATTATGCATTGTAAACAAGGTGACTGGACGGTACCACACTGTTTCTGCAATACTATCCTTAAAACAGCCCATTTGAGTGTTTTTAAGTTCTTGGTGCTTTATAACACTTTCATTCAGTAAACAAATTCAAAATACAAAAAAAACACACACAGCACCCACAGACAAATTACAAAAAAAAGCTACTATAAAACTTTGATGACACCCAGTGTTAGATGACGCCTTCTCCCTGAAGTGCTGGATAATTGACAAACTGTAAATCCAGACTTTGAAAACCTCGTGACTCGACTGAATTCCGTCGCTAAGGATTGGCTTAGAAACTTTCAGGAGTGTGCCGAGCCCACCCCACGCACTGTGAAGGACACAAGTGGACCGTGCGGAATGGATTCACTCGGAGAACACCCACAGTGGGAAGGTAGGAGCTGGGAAATCGGGTTCCTCCGGCCCACTGTGGTCCTCCTGGGAGTGATCCAGCTCCAGGTTTTATTCAGAACCTCAGAGCATCGGAGGTGGGAGGGGCAGGAGCTGAGGAAGCGCTGTAATTCGACAGCTCTGATCGCAACTCCGGCCAGCCGCGCGGGTTAACAGCTTCATCGCAAAGCGGTCATCGAGGGGTCTTCCGCACAGAAACTGGGTGCTGTTTTTCCAGGGAGCCCCCCCCCCTCCCCACCCCACCCCCAGCATGGAAAGGATATCTGCTGTTCTGGGTGTCGTCGGTGACGTTCTTGATGCTCTGCTGCACCCACACCTTCTGCTGGTCCAGTTCGTGCTCGCGCCGGTCCAGCTCCTCCAGCTCGGCCTTCAGGTCGATGAGCTTGTCGGCGATCTCCCGCGTGTTGCAGCCCGGCCCCACCCCCCTGTGGAGGACACACACAGCACAGAGCCGGGGGGGGGCCCGCGGTCAGCGGTCAGGCAGACAGGAGCGCGCTTCAACCCCGGGCCCTCTGAAGCCGCCGACAAGGCGCGGCTCAAAGGGAGAGACCCTCCCCGAATTGATACCGCGACCTTTGCAGTTTCCACTCGCCCCAACTGCCCCATACGGCCGCTCTCCGTTTCGTCCGCCGGAGAGGCGGAAACCGGATTTCGGCACGACCCGCGGGGGCAGTGCCAAAAGGGGTCCCCAGCTCTGGGTACAGGGACCCGACTGAGCCCACCCTCACAGAAAAGACACCTTCCGGAGAGCAGTGGGGGCGGGGCCCCGAACTCACTTCCACTGGATGCTGTTCTTCGATTTCTTCTCGATCAGCCCGATCCCTTCCAGCACGTTCGTGATGTCATAGATGCGCCGCTTCTGCCGGACCGCAAGGGTGTCAGCTGCCTGCGGGGGAAACATCAGCACGGCATTCAGGATATAGCGCCCTGCAACACTTCAGATGGGCACAGCAATGCAAGATCTCAGGACAACACAGAGACGTTTAATATGGAAATGAAAAATGACTCAAGGAACATTATAAACAGATATCTGTAAAGCAATGTGTTCTACAATTATGGCTGACTCAGCAGAGGTGAGTACATTTATCACATTTACTAACAATGTTCCATGTGCAGAGAATCATCCTTTACATACTATGACCCCAGCCTCTCCCGACACCAGCAGCTAGAGTGGGGGCGCCCCCACCTCTCCCGTCAACGGCAGCCAGGGTGGGGGGTACCCCAGTAAGCGGCGAGAGCCGGGGCAGAAATGCACAGGGCACAAAGAAGTGCAGAAGAGAGTAACGGCTGATGTACACAGGGGGCAAAAGGCTACATGAAACAAGCAGAGCGCGGCAGAAACTTTGTGCGATGCAAAAGGAGGAGCCCGTCGTAAAATAACTTGGGTGAAGGGAGTACTGAGCAGTCCGGGAAGAAGACCAAAGCAACACAGCCGCACACCGGGCGTCCTGCCCAAGTCCCTGAAGCGGTGATTTTTTTTCTGTGGCTAACCGAAACTGCACGACCGGGAAACAACAAAAGCTGGAAGGATTCGGTGCTCTTCAGCCACCATGCAGCTCTGTGAAACGTACATGATTGGGATCTTCATGCTGAGCAGTGATCAGAATAACTGAGGGGTGGGAGGGTACAAGCCTATAAAAACGCTTCCAATCAGCTGCAGCAAATGAGACTGGAGATCTCAGTATACTTGGAGTCCCAGGAAGCTACGTTATTTTCACCAAACACAGACGCGACCCCGATTTGCATAAGGGTTACAGTCCATACAACCTGGCATAAGCCAAGTGTATACAAGCCGAACCTTTAAACGGTATGTTCACACTTATTGTTTCATATTTCAGGGCTGTAATGACACAATCACACTACTACAATATTACAGTGTACTGTACAGAATTTTAATCCCAAAAACTGCAATCTGGCAGAATAACTGCACTGTGCTTTTTTCCAGCTCCAGTTGCACAAGAACTTTTCACATCACACAGACAGCAGAACTTACTCCAGACAATGCACATCTACCAGAAGACCAATAAGACGATGCAGAACAAGACAGAGGTCGCAGACAGCTTTTCCTGTAAAGGTAGATGTACACAAGTGCTGGGAGGTCCTGTAACCGCAAACTCAGGCCACTGATCTGATCTGCACGGTCTGGAAATCTGTGGCGCACACCTCATGCCCTCTGAATCTGTATGTGCAAATGATAACGAGGTTCTCAAGCCAGAAACAACTGAACAAATCTGCAGGATTCAGTGCCCCGTGTCTCGGGTCCACGAGGGATGTTAATTAAATCCGTCTGGGTTTCTCATTCGATGCTGGGATTGGGGTTTGACCCATTAAAAAAAAAACAGAGAAGATGAGAAACAAATGAAAGACCACAACCAGAGGGGGAGAGGAGCGGGTTCAGTGAGGAGAGACCACCATACAATTCAGGATGGATTTATTTTTTCTTTATAGCTAACGAGGATTTTGGAAAGCCAGTACAAGGGGAACAAAATAAAATGAGGTGATTAAACCAACCAGCTCTAGTCACTGAAAAGGCAATGCATGTTTGTGATTATTTAGCTTTTTCGTATTTGGTAAGTATTTTGGACAGCCTTTGATGTATTTTTCAGTGAACAAAACACTGAAAGCCACTGCACCCTATCTACAGGCTGGTCCTCTCTCCTCTAACCTGAGCTGGAACCAGGGCCAAGATGCTATTGCACCAAAACTCCACAAGAGGGGCACACATTATACATTGCACAGTATGCAGATCACTGCAGCACTACAATGCATTCCATGTCTGAAAAGGTGAGGTGAAAAAATCACCTTTGTAAACAATAAAATGTTTGTAAAGCTCAACGGGCTATAGAGCAGTAACACATTTAGGAACGAAAGGAGTGCACATCCATTAGTCTTCTACAAGGCAGTTATATACAGGAGTGGACAAAATAATGGAAACAAGTGTCAAGTCACCGAAAAGGGTGTTGGATCACCAGTACTGCCTGCATGCACAGGGGCTTATAGCATACCACCATCAACAGCAGGAATTCTGCAGGAACCATTCTTCAACAAGACAGTTAATCCACTCGCTCCTGGCTTGCGGAGATGGGAAATGCCATCTCAATGATCGTTCCAGGACTTCTCATGAAAGCTCAACTGGGTTCGGAGCTGGTGACTGAGGAGGCCGTGACACACGGGTGACATCCGTGTCCTGCTCATCGAGCCAACGGGCAGCCACGCATGCTCTGGGGACGGGGGCATTGTCACTGTGGAAGACACCCCTCAGAAATACTGCAACACGGGGTGCACACGACCACTCCGATCCGCCACAGCAGCGATCAGCACTGATCGTGCGGTCTAAGGGGATGAGTGCACGCAGACCATGCCTGGAAAACGCTCCCCACAACATCCTGGAACCACGAGAACCATTCACTGCTGGAACCACGCACTCAGGGCTGTAGCTCTACCCCATAGATGGCACGTGTTCTCCATTTGCTGAAAAGGAAGTCAAGGAAAAGGCAATTCATCCGGCCATACTGGACCACATTTCTCCACTGCTCAGTAGCCCACTGCCTGCGCTCCAGGTGTGATGCGAGGCTCGTGCCCGGCAACCCTACTGTGGTCTCCTGTTCTGCGGAGTTTTGGATTCAACTGGCTGCTCTCCAGGTTTTGGCGCGTTTTTTCAGACCCGTCCTGGATCAAACTGCTCGCTCCCCAGGTTGAAATCGGCAAGTTGAAAACTTCAAACGAAAGCGCGAACCTGGAGTGACGGCTTCCTGCGACCTTTGTCCTTTGCTGGTGACGTCTTTCTCTTGCAGTCCCACGTTGACATCGTTAGGCGGCGTAGCTTGTTAAACATCAGAAAATTGAGCTGTCGAGGTCAACTAAGCTCCTGCCAAACAGGCCCTCCTCCTTTCAAAGGCACTCTTATTATTGCTAGCCATAACTGCAGGCAGACAGGCCTGTCCAGCATTTTCATACCCGAGTCTAACCATGCTGGGATGTTATCTGCTTCATTAACACGAGCCACACCTGTGTTGGAACCCTTGCCTTCACTATATTTGCTGCCCCTCATTAACCCTTGTGTTCCCATTTTCTGTCCACAACCTGTTCGTTTTCTTGTCCAGGAATGACTAGACTCAGAAGATTGAAGCTGTGACTATAACCCACCGACGTAGCTGGTTGAGAATATCTGGAGCCCATGAAGACCCGTTGGGGTTGGGGCCAAACCAGTATTTTATTTGGATAAATCTGCGAGAGAGAGACACATGGTGCTCTGTAACATTTTACAACTTGACTGCATTCACTCAACACCTTTGACAGGCAGAAAACACTGGCATTATTTGCTGTATGCAAAGCAGTCCAGCTGTCAAAGCAATACACAATAACTAGGCCATGGGTCCAAAGAAGTTCATTCTCATATGCTTAAATTACCCCACAGAAAGACCAAGAACTTTAACCTCTGAAAAACACTCCTGAAACCCAAATGGTTCGAATGCGGCCCAGGTACCCTGTGACTCTGCCGTCTCTGACGCTTCACGCCCAAGGTTGGAGTGTCATTTTGCATGCCCGGAGCTAGCAGAAATGAACCAGAAGGTAGCTCACGTGTCAAAATAAAGATACAAGGAAAACGATTAACAGGCAAATAAGCGTACACAAAATTGGACCTACTTCCCTCGGCAGACTAAGTGGAAAGCGGTGAAGAGGAATTAACCACAAGGTTCTAAAAAAGAGACATGTCCAGTCCCCAAAAAAAACAAACAGTCCAGATAAAATCAGTCCCTGGCCCACAAGTAATGCAGTTTACAACACACCATCAACTCCAATAATGACCACTTGCTCAAGAGTTCACACACACAGGGAGCATACTTCCACGGACAAACACACTGCTGGGGGTCACTGCATTCCAGTGTCACTGCAATAGGCATGCAGTGTCTTTTAACACAAACCATACAACCATGATCATTCCTTTACCTGGACGCTGACTGAGCTTTGCAATGCATATAGAGCATCTTATAGCCTTTTTATCTCAGACTGATTTCATAACCCGAACCACTATGCCATTTTATTCCTCCAAAATGTGTCCGGTTTTAATATTCTCATTCCCAGGACGACACAAAGCCTCCTACGTCAACCTGACTTCGTGCAAAGTTGTGATCTTTCAAAGCCACACGACAAATTACATAAAGGCAGTTCACACAACAACTGAGGCCACAAAACCCTCCGTCGCTTCTGTGCTGCACAAACTGCAGAATGAAACGCACAACGCAGCCGAAAGGAAAATCAGACACTGAATGCACATCCGTGCAAACCAGTTCTTCCCATAAATATGAACCCAGGTGCAATGCATGCGAGTGGACAGGAAAGGTTTCGTTTGCACTTGCATTTTAAGCACCATTCTTAATCGAACCAAGTGCAAACCTGACTTCAGGGCACCTTATCATCCTGCTGCACAGCTCACACATCTGAAAAAACAGCTGCATCACTGCACAGCAACACTGTCAGAAAGGAAATCTCTTACAAGCGGGCAGCCACTGCGCAGTTGAGCAAATAGTTAATCATTACTCAACTGTAACAGTCAAGAGACCCATGGCTGAGAAGGTCAGGAGGAGTAACAGAAGGAGCTCTCTGGCACACTGCTTTAAATGTGCCATCGTGTCTCCTCACTGAAAGAGCCTGAAAGGGACCAAAATGAAAAAAAAGGGGGCAAATCTAAAGTAAACGCAAATGATTCGATCAAGCTGATATTGACAGCAATGATCAATCAGCCCATCAAATCGGCACAATTTTCAAAATGCAGCGAGGACTTTCGGCTATGCCCCGTTTCAGTGAGTATTTGTTTCCGATTCAAAGAGCTCTGGAACTGCAGGATACATTAAGCTATTTCTTCGTTGAACAGTGGAATAGAGAAAGAAACACAAACGTTCAGATCATGATGCACTGAAACGTGAAACTGTAATAATTACATAACCCTCTGCTGGCCACACTCAAATAAGAAAGCTCCCGGTAGGCTGTCGCGGTTAAACATGACTTCGGGGATCTTCTGCGCCCGGTGTCAGTAAGAACACCCCACAAAATGAGAGAAGGGGGAATAAAAACGCTTTCTAACCTGAAACAGAGTATTCATTCTCGGACAGCCTTGAAAACGAAACCTGTATCTTGTGGAAATCCCCACGCAGTTCACAGACTTGCGTGGCTATCGGTGCAACAACCATTTTTTTAAAAAAAAATGTATCTATTGCAATGAAAAGGGGGGTATTTCTAATTATGGTTTCAGAGGTGTTTCTTTCTATAAAGGGGCAAATGATACGATCACTAATCAATCAGGCGGACGACTTCACGTCTTCCCACAACACAGAAACATACCCCGACCCCCCCCAAAAAAATCCTGGGTTTGTTTTTGCTGCATCACCACGAGGGAATCTTTGTCAAAGTCGCCGCGGTGTTTCTCGGTGACAGAAAAGCTCGTCTAAGGTCCTGAATTATTCGGACGTACAGAAACAGACCCCGAGTACTGTTTCAGTGCGATCAGCCACAACCTCCCCTCCGGTCCCCCACGGACAGCCCCTCCACGTCCCCCGTTTAAATGCCTCCTTTTCTCGGGGCTTGGTTCGCCCGCCCACGCGTGGCCTCGTACACGCGGGGCATGCCACAGGTGTTGCTCCGGCGAGACCAGAGAGCACCCAAGAGCGGCGGTAAAGCGGAGATGTTTGTAATTCATGAGCGAGCAGCGGCGCACACTTACAACTTTCAGATCCAGAACTCCATCCTTGGCCTCCTGCAACAAAGTAACGAACTTGGTCGTGAGCAAGCCCAGGCTCTTCTCGTGTCGGCTCGGGGTCTGGGGCTGTACTGGCTCGGCCATGGCGCCCGGGTCAGTTCGGATTAGATCCAGAAGGGTTCAGCTCGGTTCTGGTCCAGCCCCCCCCCGCCGCCCGATCGCCGCAGCCACCACCACAACCACCACGCAATTCGCTCTCCACCTCCTCGGACCGTCCCCGCCGCCGCCCGTGTCGCACCGCGATCCCGGAGTTGGGTTCGGTGTCCCGCTCTGGAATGTCCGGTCCGATCCGATCCGGCTCGGCTCCCTGTTGCCCGAACCCCTCTCGGCCTGCGGCCACCCGGCAATGAGGTCTATGGTATGGAGCCGTTAGCGGCGCGGGGCATGCTGGGATCGATTTGAACGGCAGGGGCCGTCTGCAAAGGGCAGTTTCTAAACATTAAAAAACAAAAGAGAGAAATCCGAGGACATAGTTCATTTCGATCCACAATAATTAGAATAGCCACGAAATAAGTACGATAACACGATCGATTTCATATTTCGGAAAGTCTACAGTCAAATATTTAAATAAAATTCTGAGCACATGGCCGGCGGTGCTGTCTCTGTCGCTCTCATTAAGAACCCTAATGCATTTACAGAAAGCAGTAAATCCATCAGTTTCGTGTTGCGAGGCATGACTTTATTCCCTATGTGAATGTCTGATCGTTGTCACTCGCCGCGAAGGGGACTCCTGTGATCCTACACCCACGCAGGACTGATACATCTCGCAACAATTTGCTCACCAGCAGTTACTGAAGCTGGGAGCCGCTGCGCAGCGCGAATAAAAGAGCTTATTTATACTTTATCATATTAATTAAAAAAATCCCACCTCCAAAGCAGCCTTCCAACAAAAATCCGGCATTGTGCTCTTTAAATCAAACTTCCTGTTCCGTCAGAAGTCGGTCTTTGACAGGGTCGCAAGCTGCGTTCACCTCGCTCCGCTGAGCCAATGGATTGGGACTGGCCGATAGGGAGTGTCGTCAAATTATTTGTTCAAAGCCTTTTATCGCTCCATTCCTACTCGGTTGTGACTATATGGCCATGACCCTGGTCGAAAATTGCGTTTTCCAGTGTGTATTACTGATAAACCTTGGAATAGGACAGGAAGTAGTAACTAGATACTCAGAGTTGGAGGATGTCACTACTGAACATCAGCATTTTCCTGTATTGTGTGCAATACAGCAATCTAGTGAAATCAAGACCTGTGCGTTTGAATTTTGGTAGCTTTAGGTTGTTGTTTTTTTTACATAAAGCTTCATTTATTCTTTTACTCTGTTCGCATTTACTCTGCTTTTTCGTTTTGTAAAGAGTTAATGTTTACCGAGGTGTGTACAGTCCATGCACCATAGTAGGTAGGTCCCTTTTCAGCCGATAAAGGCCCATGGGGGAATGGGGGGGCAAGGGCCACCATTCTTCTCAACCATCCGACACTGGAGGTGGAGGTGATGTGGTCAGCGTCACGCTCCGGCCAGCCTGTTACCCCCAGAAGGATTAACCCCCGGTACTCACTTGGAAAGCAGGCTGAGTGGACCTGGGAGCTGTCTGGAAGGAATTGGAGCAAGCTCCATCTCTTGACCCTTCCTGGGATGGAACCCGGGACCTGGTCAGGAGCTAGACGCCCTTGCTGGCTGAGCTACCACATGCACTGTATTATCCCCTGCAATTGTTTGTGCAACCATTTCACCACGAAGTATCAACCACGGCCGGGTACAGACTGGGCCTCTTCAAAAGTCTGCACAATTGATTGTATATTTTACATTGCACGTACATTTATTTTTTTGTCTTTCTCATCCTACATGTTTGTCCCTTGTTTGCTAATGCGTTTATGTTCTGCTAAACGTATTGTGTGTTGTGTTATGTCTTTTACCTGCCTGCAAACCATATTTCCTATCTGGGACAATAAAAATATTCTTATGATGAAGGAAGTGTCCCATAAGATACGTTAAGATTCGATTTCACACTACCACGAGAATGCATTAGTTTTCTCTAACTCCGTTACAGTCACAGTGTTCAACCCCATGCCAGTAATGAGTCACTATGAGTCATTTTCAGTTATGCAAGAGCCAGGACATAACAGCTTATAAGTCATTAGTATTATTCTATGTCACGTGACAGCATTATGCATATATTTATTATCCACATTGCAGGACTCAAATCACATATTTCACGCAGCGTGGAGACAGGAAATCATGTCCTGCCGAACGATACCCTCTTCCTGATCTGGAGAGTCCGAACCCTCAACTTTTGAAAATACCCTGAAACCCGGAGCCCCACCTATCAAAGCAGAAGGTGACACAGCCGCCCTGCCACCCCACTCTCCAAGCAGCAGTAAAGGACGTAACCAGCTCCCATGTCACGTGATACATTCGTTATCAGAACGCTACTAGTTGCTGTATTATTATGTGATACAGACAGTTTGACTGTTCAGTCAACATTCCACAGTTTTACAGTCATTCCTAAACACCACCTGATCAGATCCTCCCAATTCCATGATCATCAGAAACAAAGGAAATACAATTTCCCAAGGGAAAGGAAGGCCCTGCCTGGATCTCACGGCTAAGGAGCTGGATTATCCCGTCCTTGTTAACAATCCCAGCTCCCCTTTCCCTCCTCCTCCTGTTCCCTGCTGTGCCTTTCCCCCCAGGGAAGAGATAAAGAAGCCCATCTCAGACTGAATGGAGAACACACACCCCTCTCCCTCAGCCCACTGAGGGCAGCAGCCAATCACATTGCTTGCCTCAGAGTGGCCAAACACAAGAGATCAAGGGGCACCACAGCTAAAGAGTACAGCCTCGCACAGCCTGGCCACATCAACCGAGCAACACAGGCAGAGATGGCTGGCTGGAGAGGACAGCTCACGTTCCCACTGCCTGCAGTGTCACAAGAGAAGAGTCAGAGATGCGCTATCTGCTGCACAGCAAGAAATATCCCTGCTTCCCATTCTGGGCCTTTCTGCCGTTTGTCATTGCATTCTAAACTAAAAACAGTCCCCCAATTTTACAATACACTATCTCAAAATGAATGTATTGTGTTGTTTTGTGTTTTTGCATTTTTGACTCCAGTTTGTTCTCATGCCTCGTAAATAATCGCTACAGCTGCTCTAACTGAAACACATAGTTCTCCATTTACTGTACAAAGTCATCATCATGTGGGTAACCAGTGTTGCATCAAACAGCCTACTACAACACATAGCCATGGGAAGGCTGTTTTTAAAAGCAAGCTGTGCAAGGTGGCTGTGCTTCAGCTTGGTTTTTAAGATAAGAGATAAGATCACTTTATTAGCCACATACAATTTCTTGCATTAGGAATTTGTCTTTTCACACACTCCAGTTTGCTCTCCATGAGACACACAGACGGGGAGAGAAGTTTGGGTCAGAGCGCAGGTTCAGCCATATTACAGCACCCCTGGAGCAGTTGGGGTTAAGGGCCTTGCTCAGGGGCCCAACGGAGTAGGATTCCTCCGCTGGCCACAGGATTTGAACTGGCAACCTTCCAGCCACAGGCACAGATCCTGAGCCGCAGGGCCACTGCTCTGCCCCTTTTTCTTAACTGCGGAGGGGGGCCAATCAGGATAAGATCACTGTAGATGTGTCGGTAACACACCTGCATGGTGGATTGACACAGGGCAGCTCCTTTGATCAAGCCTACATTATCATTTTTAATTGAGCTAATGACTGCAGCATAAACAAAAATATGTCTTGCTTGATGAGACATGCAGCTCAGCACTATGCATAATAAGTTAATGTCTTGGAGTGCCCCAGTTCCTTCAGGGAAAACAGGCTTTTCCCCTGACTCTGATAAGGAGATTGTTCCACAGACCTGAAGAATAAAAGTGTATGCAGGGCCAGAGCCAAGTGAATAATTAATACAGAACTGGATCATTATCTTTTACCACCTCTTCTCTGATTAGGGGGCCCTGTCTGATGGCTTAGCCCTTTGTAGATAACATTTCACCTACATTGGCTTATTTGCTCAAGGTAATAGAGGAAATTCAAAGGCTTTTTCTTCACCTTTTGTTTCCAATAACAATAAGCAATTTTAATTTAAAGGGATATTCAGTCTGGTTTACAATACATACGGTAATGGGCATATCCCTATCTAATGTCTACAATTTTAAGTGTTTGTTTGCCTTGAGTGAATTTTTTTGTATTTTTGCTGTTACACCTTTTGCACTGTTGTAGGGATTTGCTTGATCAGCGTGTCAATCAATCAATGCTGCAATCAATAACTTTGATGCAATTTGTCTGACAGGTCAAACACACCTCAAGAAACAAGCACACACAAAGACATAAGGCAGACTTAAAAATCTGCTTGTACACCCCAGAAAGGTAATGTCAAATCTCAGAACTTGCTAGCTCTCACAGTTGCATCGAATTTTCAACTTTTTGTCTGCTCCTTTGTGTTTGCATGCTGCTTTTTCTTGAAGTGCAGGACTATCGGCGAGCCATGTCTCAGACAGCCAAATTATTCCAGCACTGAAACTCCACCTGGCAACTATACAATAGCTCTGGCCTGAGAGGGGTGGGTACAGGAAACCTGACCTGCTCTGCATGCCTCTCTGAGAAAAAGAACTTAAAAAAGAGAAGGTTAGAAAAGAGAGAAGTACATTCTGCCCATCTAGCCTGCACGGTAGTTAGTAGTTAAATGATCCCAGGACCTCATCCTGCTGTTTCTGGGAAAAAAAAAAACAGGGTATCGGCTGGGTGGGGTTGTTCCAGACCCCTACCATGCTTTGTGTAAAGGCATGCCTCCTTGTCCTGATTGGAGGATCTCATCCAGCTGTTTCTGGAAAGCAGCCAGGGGATGAACAACATGGCCCGGCAGCTTGTTCCACACTCCCACAACCCACAAGTAACTCAGAGAAACTACAAAAGGAGTTTTAAGAAGCAAACCTGCTCTTCCTCAAGCAACTGAGCTTAACGCATTGCTCTTTAAACATAGGCGTTATTGTTCAATGTGCTCCTTCAAAAAGAATAATGCATGATCCTCCGAAAAGGTACCCATACATCAAAGGTTCCTGTTCCTTTGATGTGGGACTGAAGATCTTATTTTCCCCTAAAGGTCTGACGAGGGGCTCTCCTGGTGTGTGCAATGTTCCCGACTTTTAGAGCAATCAAGAACCCCTGAACATTTCATTCAAATTTAGCAAAGCTGTTAAGCAAAGCTCTTAAGAGTCATCTCATTTCATGTCGCTGGTGAACCTGATAAGCCGCCCTTGCCTGCTTTCTGTGGTTTATCAGGTCAGCCAGTGCCTGCAGCTTCATTCTGAACTGTTAGTGGCACTAATATTATTTTCTCCACTCTTATTATCTTTTTGTCAGGCCTTTGTTTTTCAGAGCACTCGAATGGACGTCTGCCGCCAGCTCACACAGCTCCAGCGAGGTTGCCTCTGAGTGGCATCAGGACCTCCTGACGCGCAGCTCCGGCCACCCGCCGCCAGTGCTGAGGTCAGGGGTCGAAGGTCAGAGGAGCTGTGGGCCTCTCTCCACTCCTGCTGGGATCTTGACTGGATCTGCAGCAGGGGCATAGAACTACAAGCAGAAGTACCCTCCCCTCCCAAATTCTGACTGACCTACTTCTGTCTTTCAGTGTTACCGTTCACATGCAGTAGACGTCTGGCCATATTGCTCTCTCTGCTTTGGGACCGTAAGAGGGCTGACAATGAACTTCAGAAGTTCAGTTTGGTTCCACACCACTGGCTTCAAGTTATTAAACAGCCGGGGGCTCTGTACTGCTGTGCCCTTTCAGAAATGGACAGAGATGATGACCTTTAATGACCTTCCTCCTCTGAACACTTTTTGAGTTACAAATTGTGCCACTTTCTCTCAAGTATGAACGCAGGTTAAACAGTAGTTTCAAATTCTCAAGGGAGATGTAGAAACAGATAATTAGCATACATAAAGATAAGTCGCAGATGATGCGATATAGATCTGAAGCTACTCCTCACAGTGAAACA